AAGGGGAAACAAAGGAGGAGGCAACAATGTTTGATAAGAAATGTACTCATTACCTTGCCCATGTAATTGTAACCCCTCTGTACGGTATTTTCACAATTAAAAAAAAAACAATGGGCTGTCACTTCCAAGATTAGGTTAGGTTATTATCATATAGAAAGGAAGACTGATTGATGTTCATGTTGTTCATTCTTTCTCTCTCATTCCCTCTCTCTCTCATTTCCTCTCTTTTCCCTCTTTCTCTCATTCTCTCTCTGTGTCTGTGTCTCTCTCTGAACTACACCTAGATTCCTTTGCTGACTCACAAAAACCATGAGATAATAAATGTCTCTAGATTCCTTTCCTGACTCACAGAAACTATGAGATTATAAATGTCTATCAGTTGAAGTTTTGGGAAAATTCCTTATACAGCAACAGACAACAAATACATCATTTGTTCGGCCTAATGAAAAGTGACTTGAGGCATCATCTGGAAAGGTTTTAAAATCTTCAACGATTTTCCACCTTCATTCAGATTCACAGACCATTCCTGAGTTCCACAGAGGATGATACTACAAGTACAAATCCACTCTTCTTCCTCATTCTATTATTATTCAATTGTTACTGTGATAAGATTATTAGTTCAAGTTGTCATTTAATTCTTCTTTTTGGGTCAAGAGTTAGAACTGAGTCAAATAGAAAGGACCTGGGCAGTACAGATGACAAGTAGCTCTTATATGTTACCTGACAACAAGGAAAACAATGATCATAAACCGAGAAAATCTATCACAGTGCCAGAAAAAAACAGTGTCTGTATCAGAAGTCTGTAAGGACAGATTAAATTGATTTTAAATAGATTTAAAACAAAGAAGAGAATGTCAACAACAACAACAACAACACCTGCAAAGCCCTAGCAATGATATTCACAGGAGACTGCTAAGTTTATAAGCCTTGGAAATTTCCATAGCACATAAACAAGAGCATTTCAAGAAATGCCATCCTTCTCAGTCAATGGGCTGAACACCAGGGGGAAATAGGTAAAGGCTGTCCCCAATCCAGGGAAGTCACAAAACCACAGAAATGATAAGGAACTTACAGCAGCATTTCTATCCCAAACTTAAAGTTTTGATTATGAGGTACAGCAAAAAGAAAAGAAGTTATGACCAAAAGGATAAACATAAAAAGACTTAACTTCATCCACCAGTCTCCTGAAACATTAGCTTCCTAGAGAAAGTGCTTAAGGGTCAAATTCAATTTTCATTGTGATGTTATTATGGGGTACCTGATTGGGTATAAATGTTTGTTATTTACAAGCTTGATGACATTTCATCTCTTTGAAATGATCTTATTAGAGATCAAATAAGATTATTTAAGGGAAAATCTTGCAAATGATATATCCCTGTATATATACTCAAGACACTGGTATGGGAGTATCTTGACAGTGAGAGACTACTCAGAATAATAGTAGAGGTGGTCGCACTTATCATGGTTGTAAGTTCCAGCTCAAGAGCGACACCCAACAGGCATGTGGGAGACCCTATGATGAAACCCCTTTGAACGATTAAGATGCACTGTAACAAAAAAGAATATTAAGAAGTTAAAATATTTCTGATCTGGGCTGTAACCATAAGAAGGGGCAGACAAATAGGAAAGAAGAGGAAGACAAAATATATACATGGATGAAAATGGAACAAGGCAACTTGGTAAGACTAGTTTGGGAAGGGGGATGGGGGACATTGGTAAAGGGTGAGTTGAATCAAGAGCAGAAGCCAGGCACCAGTGGCTCACGCCTGTAATCCTAGCTACTCAGGAAGCTGAGATCCGAGGATCAAAGTTCAAGCCCTGCCCATGCGGGAAAGTCCATAATGCTCTTGTCTCCAATTAACTACCCAAAAAGCCAGAAGTGGAGATGTGGCTTCAATGGTAGAGTGCTAACCTTAAGCAAAAAGGAGCTCAGGGCCAGCGCGCAAACCTAGAGTTTGAACCCCAGGACTGGCAAGAAAAAAAAAAAGAAATAGTGTATATAAGATGGAAACCTTGAAACTATTACTACAGGAAAGAGAAGGAGAAGCATTAGAATTGATTGGCACATAACAAATGTAATCACCACCTTACTTATGTAACTGTAACCCCTCTATACATCACCTTAACAATACAATTTTTTTTAAAAAATAATTGATTGGCACAGGCAGGAAATTCCTGAGTAGAATTCCAGGGGCTCAACAAATAGGAGAGAGAATTGACAAATGGGATAACATTAAGCAAAGCTTTTGCCAAGTGAATGGTTTAGTCACTAAGCTAAAAAAGAGCCTAGAAAGGAAGATCTTTTCGAATATGCATTTGACAAGAGTTAAAAAAAAACAGAATATACACAGAGCTCAGTAACAAAATTCAGTCACCCAATTAATAAATAGGCAAAGGAGCTAAATCTACACTTCTCAGAAGAAGTAAAAGGAAATACATGAAAAAATGCCTGACATCCCTGGCCATAAAGAAAATGCAGATCAAAACAACATTTAGTTTCCATCTCACTCTAGTCAGAATAGTCATCTTCATGGATACAAACAACAACAAATGCTGCTAAGGGCTGGATGCCAGTGTCTCATGCCTGTAGTCCTAGCTACTCAAGAGGCTGAGATCTGAAGATTGACAGCCAGCATGGGCAAGGAAGTCCATGAGACACTTATCTCTAATTAACCACCAAAATGCCAGAAGTGGGACTGTGGCTCAAGTGATAGAGTACTAGCTTTGAGCACAAAAGCTCAGGGATAGCACTCAGGCCCTGAGTTTAAGGCCCAGGACAAGCTCACTTTTGTAATCCTAGCTACTCAGGAGGCTGAGATCTGAGGATCGCAGTTCAAAGCCAGCTTAGGCAGGAAAGACCATGAGACTCTTATCTCCAATAAACCATTCAGAAAACCAGAAGTGGTGCTGTGGCTCAAGTGGTAGAGCCCTAGCCTTGAGCTGAAGAGCTCAGGGACAGTGCCCAGGCCCAGAGTTCAAGCCGCATGACCGACCAACATTAAAAAATGCTGGTGAGGATATGAGGAAAAAACCTATATACTATTGGTGGGAATGTAAACTAGTGTAACCACTATGGAAAGCAGTATGGAGATCTCCCAAAATACTAAACATAAATTACCTTTACCCAACAATACCACTCTTGAACATTTACCCAAAAGATGGCAACTCAAGAAACAATAAAGACAACTGTACACCCATGTCCCTTGCAGAACTATTTACCAAAGTCAAGTTATGGAAAGAGCCCAAATGCTTTACAATAGACAAATGGATTAAGAATTGTGACATATTTTTCATATCTACATATGCATATATAAAAACATATATTCCACATATATTTGTGTGTACGTGATTTTATTCACCCATCAGGAATAATAATATTATGTCACTTGCAAGAAAATAAGATGGGCTAGAAAAAATTATATTGAGTAAAGTTAAGTCAGGTTCAGAGAGACAAAGGCACATGTTTTCTCTCATATGTAGAAGCTGGATCTAAACATAACAAATATGAAAACACATACATTGCTCTATGTGCATATACACAATCAAACTGACTGAAACATGGCATACCTGGGGTGGATTCCCATCTCTTTGAACAACTAACCAACCATTTAACAAGATGAATACTCGAGAGCTAAAACACATGTTGCCTCCGGAGGCTGGAGATTAAGGGGGAAGGGTGGATGAATGGAGAGTGAAAGGGTGGGTGACTAATACTCAATACACAGAGTCAAAGTGCTACATGAATATGAAGCTAGACAACAATGGGTGGACTGGGCTGGGGGAGGGAGAATGGTGGAAGGGGTGATTCTGATCAAGATACATTGTACACACAAATAGGTATGTTGAACCAAAATCATTTTTACAGTCAAAGATTGTTTTTAAATGATAAAATTTAAAATAAGCATTGCATGCATAGATGGACTTGTTAAAACATAAGCAATTGATGTTCATTTTTTTAAAAAAAGAATATAAGATATAGTTTGATGTCAGCTATTATGCCTGTGTAATTCTCATGGCACATTCAACCTCAGATATAGGCAATGACTGTATAGTAGGTCTACCTGCCCGTGTTCTATCCAAAAGACAGGAGAAAGAGATTATAGCGTTAATTCGGCGTGGAGCAGCTCTCTTTCCTTACCCAATACTTCATTCTCCTGGACCTCAAATACAGTTACTGCAGACGGACATGTCGGTGGGTTATCATTAATGTCTAGAACTTTCACGTGAACTTCCAGAGGGTATGAAAGTAGTTTTCCATACTCGTCCTTTGCAGCTGCATAAAAAACATACTACAACAGGAAAGTCAGAGTTAGAAGACTTTCCCTGCCCCTTTAAAAGGCAGAGAAAATGACTGTTCCGCTTGATCCACCCCTTTATTGTCAACTTACTTAGAACAGAGAAATGAGGAGGAAAGTGAAACAGGTGAGGAAATTATCAAACTATATGATGTCTTGGAGATCTAATAATACATCAAGTATGGAACCCAAATTTTTTTAAGTAACATCAATTTTACTTTCACAGTAAGGAGATGTGGGCTTTGTCAGAATTTCACAAAAGTTCTCCCTTGTACTCACTGAATCCTTTTCTTCTCGGTCCAAGGGCTGGGTCACATAAATATTTCCTTCCTGGTCAATTGAAAATGGGAATCTTTCCAGTTTCTCCTTCTGAGCTAAGGAATATTGTGCCCCTGGCTCATTCCACTGCACCTGATGGGCCCAAAGTACATGATCAGGAAGGACACAAGTAGAATTAGACAGGAAATAAACAACTTCCCATTTCTCATTTGAAACTTCTGACAACTTCCCATGTCAAGATAACTGAATTCTTTCCATCTAAAGTAAAACTTAAAAAAAAAGTGCTGTTGCTTAAAAAAAAAAAAAACAAAATAAAATCAAGGAAAGTTTCTTTTCTAACGCAATTTTTCTCCAAGAATTTATGGCTTGTTTTCTTTCAGAAGTTTGGACCAAGGGGCTCACATGCCTGAGATGTCAACTTAGGAAGCCAAGTGGACTTTGTAGCTGACATTCTGAAAACTAAGTCATGATGTATAATGAGAAAGAATAAATGAATAAACTCCAAAGTGAGAACAGTCTACTTGTTGTTCAGGCAGACCTTGATCTCTCTGCTGTTCTATTGGTAATACTAATAATAATATTTATAGAGGATATATCACATTGCATACACAATTCTGAAAACTTCCATGTACCATCTCATTTAATCACCAAATGGACCTATGAACTAGAGACTACTGTTATACCCAGTTTACAGATGAGGAAACTGGTGCACACAAAAAAATGATGTGACAGCCACGCACTGGTGGGTCACACTTGTAATCCTAGCTACCCAGGGGGCTGAGATCTGAGGACTGCAGTTCAAAGTCAGCCCAGGCAGGAAAGTCTGAGAGACTCTTATTTCCAATTAACAACCAAAAATGGGAAGTAGAGGTGTAGCTCAAAATGGTACATTGCTAGCCTTTAGCAGAAAGGCTCAGGGACAGTGCCCAGGCTCTGTCTGAGTTTCAAGCCCCATGACTGACCTTCCTCCCCACCAAAAAAAAAATCCAAGATCCTGAAGCTACTTGAACAGAGAACTAGTCTCCCAATTTACGAAGTTATCACAGAAATAGTTTTGTGCTTGCTAGTTATTTAAGCACTCACTACCCATTCACTGTCAAAGACTGCATTCTTGGTCCTAAACTGAGCTCCCTTTCTATTTTTCTCAAGCTGAACCCCCCAAGACTAAAGACCCTCTGCTGGGTCTTCATGGAGAGGCATTCCTCTACCCTATTTACTGAGGAGAGATTAGGATTCAGGATAGTTAGATGACTTTTCTGTGGTCAGTTATAAGTTGATGGAGCAAAAACGTGGTTCCAGGCATCTGCTTCCAAACCCAAGGCTCTACCACCATTCACAGACTTCCTGCCAAGGAAGCACTGAACTTCTAGAACATCCGAGACGGTGCTGGGCTCCAGAATGGATCTGCAGGAGCTCAGACAGGGAGGAAGTCACTGACGAGAGCACCCACCATGGAGGTGGGAAGGGAGACACTGAATGGGACTGAGAGACACACACAGGAGAGGGAGCAGAAGGTCTCCAAGCAGAACAGTTGCCTGTCATGGCTCTTCACTCAGAGCTAGTTCTGTCTCTGTCCCTCAGTCTCTGATAGGATGAATCTATTGGGTCAATACTTTCTTTCCTTACAAGATTTGAAAGCAGATTTTAAAAGAAAAATACTTGCAGTCCCAAATTTAAACTACATATATGTGCATGATATGTGCACCATAAACAATCCCCAATTAACCGTGTGAGTGAAGTACACAACACACACACACACATTTGAATGTAAGTTTTCTCCCCATAATGATAATCTCCAGAGATTTACTTTGCAATTATGTGATACAAAAAAAAATGTACTAATAAGTGCTTCAGTGAAGACTCTCAGGAGTAGGTCTCTACCAAACAAGGCTGTGTATCTCACGGGCTCTAGATGTCACCCAGACACTACCTGAGTGATTTTGATGGGGTGAGGGTCAGTGGAGTTTTCAATAACCTCCACAGCATCTGGTGCTTTCCAGATATTCTCTTTCACCATAATATCCACTGATGCTGTATCACTGAAGGAATTCTCGTTCTGGCCTCCCATATCCTTCACCGAGACCAACAGATTGTAGTTAGAATTCTTAACTGGATCCAATTCCTGAGACCCTGCAGGAAGAAAGGGAGAAGAGCAGAGCAGATGCCTCTGAAGGTGGCAGACAGAAGTCCGTTTCTCTGACCTAGCATCATAAGGCGTCCCTTGGCTTACCTTGTAGGGTGAGTGATATTGCTCCTGTCTGATTGTTGATCTGAAAGTACATGACGTTGTTGACCTTGGGAAGCTGGATAACAATTTGGTAAAAAAGCTGTGCATTGGGGGTGCTTGGATCGTCCAGGTCTGTCGCGTTAACATACATGAAGGGCTTTCCTATTTAATAAAACATACCCAGAAAGAAGAGTTCATTGAAACCCAAACCAAACATAGGCACTTTTGCCTTTTAAGAAGCAGGAACACAGTAAGGGTATTATTCATAATTCATATCTGTGGAGAAGCCAATCTGTATCTTTCTTCCCTCATGGAGGATAGAGTTTCTCAAAGTGTGGTCCCTAGAAGTCTCTAGGGATTCCAGAGTCAGTGTCAAGATGTCTACAGAGTTGCAATCACACACACTAAAATTATATAAAAGCCATTCAAAGAATAAGTTAATCTAATGAATTTTAATGCAAAAGTGTACAAAACATGTTGTCGTCGATATGTTTTCAGAGTCTGCATTGCAACTAATCTTAAGGAAACCATCACTTCTCAAGTTTTGGTAACTTCTCACAGAATTCCCACAGTTTTCTAGGAAGACTATTAAAATATTCTTCTCTTTTCAACTACATATTGATGTAAGGCTAACTTTTCTTCAAGTACAACAGCAACCAAAATAGCATGTGAGAACAGAATAAATATAGAAACAGACATGATAACCCAATTGTTTTCTGCTAATCCAGATATTTAAAAAAACTTACAAGGACTAAGATAATGCCACTTCTATCACTAAATTGTTTTCATCTTGAAAATACAATTTTCATTAAAATATGTCTTTTAATTGACTTAGTGTTTTAATAACAGATACTATATTGATAAATATAACCAGGAATGTACTGGAGTTAGCACATTACAATTCTGAATTTTCAAAAATTTTGTGAATCAATTATTAACACCACTGGTAGCTTGAAATATGTCATAATGAGGATATTTACACCATGGCAATTTGCAAATCATACCCAGAAAGAGTGATTAAACATTGACCAGAACACCACTGGATATAACATGCATGTTCAAAAGTTTATTGAGACCCTCCAGTTGTTTTTTTTTTTCAGAGAATGTTGGACTCCTGAGATCAAAAAGTTGGAGAAGCATTTCTCTAGGAGATTTTATTAATGATGAGAACAATGGTGAGGCTGGAGGATTCTTACACAGTAGAGATGGTGAGGGAATGTTTGGTGGCAACTTCAGGATTATGGGGACTGTGGGATTCTGCTCCCATAATGAATTTTCTGAATTATTAGTTATGGATGATGAGGATTGAGAAAAGGAAAAGCTTGGGTCAGATGAAGGATTCGTCAGTTCTAAGTCAGTGGAAATGGCTGAGAATCTGAAATTTTGGAAGTCTAACATTCTTTGTTTGTTTTTTTGTTTTTGTTCTGTCAGTTGTGGGGCTTGAACTCCGGGCCCGGGCAATGTCCTTCAGCTCTTCTACTCAAGGTGAGCACTCTACCACTTGAGCACCACTTCCGGTTTTCTGGTAGTTAAGTGGATTTTCCTGCCTGGGCTGGCTTTGAAATGCGATCTTCAGATCTCAGCCTTCAGAGTAGCTAGGGTTACAGGTGTGGGCCACCGGCACCTGGCTTAAGTCTAACAGTCTTCTGTGCTTGGTGCAGTGTTGGGATACAATACTTCCTCATGGGCCTGCTGTACCCTCTCTGCCTCCATGAAAGGCTTTGTGGAAATAAAGGACAGAAGGTCACAGACGCATAGAGAAGGAATGGGTCACGGGTGACAGATGGACAGAGGAGAAGAACTGGAACCAGCCACTGTGATTGGCTCTTGCAAAGAAATGCAAGAGTAAGCTCACCTTTCCCCACTGTCCTGGGGCATCCTTGAGCTCTAAGATATTTTAAAGCTCACTGTAGAGAGTGATTTTTGCCTCCCATCACACCCTACCATGTACTTAACAATGTTTACAGATATTTTTATTGTCACAACTTATGGTAGGGAATGCTCCTACCCCAGAGATCAGAGAAGCTGCTAAACATCCTACAACTCACAGGAGAGCCCAAAACAACACAACAGCAGCAACAACAAAAAGTAATGATCAGGGCAGGGCCAAGATGTCAATAGTACCGAAGATGAAAAATCCTGACCTAAACTTTAAATAATAAAACAATTCCCAGTTGGGCACAAGTGGTTCACACCTGTAATTCTAGCTACTCAGGAGGTTGACATGGATCATGGTTTGAAGCCAGGCTGGGCAGAAAAGTATGTGAGACTCTTATTTCCAATTAATCACTAAAAAAGAAGCCAGAAGTGGCATTTTGGCTGAAGTGATAGAGTGCTAGCCTTGAACAGAACTTAAGGACAGTAATCAGGCCCTGAGTACAAGCTCCAGGACATCACCAAATATAAATTTAATGATACGAGCAACTCCCAGAAGATCATTGTGAAATTTATATGAGATAATAAATTATTAATGAGTGATAATCACAGCTATTAGCCACACAGATCTCCCCCTCCACCTTATTCCCATTTTCTACAAATATCTCCAGGCAGCTGCTTGTTACCTGGGCGGGAGTTCTGCCTTACTGAGCCTTCATACTTCTTTTGAAGAAATGTAGGTCGGTTGTCATTGATGTCCTTCACTTCTATGGTGATGGAGACTGGGCCCTCCACCGTGACTCCCTGAGCATCGAGGGCAGCAAGCTGATGTTGAGGAAAAGAAAATCCACTGGTCAGACTGAAGGAAGTTAGAACTAAAAGAACCAATGGCCTGGTGACTGTGGGAGACAAAGAACCCACAAAAGCCCAGACTGACTGGGGTCTATCAGCTCAGTCAGCAGAGGGAGTGCTGGACACTGGACATGTTTCCGTTCTGAGTGACTGGAGTCAGGGCCCAGAGCGTGCTGATGCACGAAGCCATGGAAGAGCCAGGCCCTTTCTCAGAGGTGTTCCAGTGGTGTCCCTGTGGAGCCCATGCAGAAGGGCCAGACAGGAAGCTGTTGGCCTGCTCCCACACAGCTTTCTGCCTTTCCTGGGTGTTCAGATACCAACCCCTGAGAAGAGATAGGTGAAGGGTCTTTAGTTGGTCTCTCACCATTGTATCCTTCTGCTCTGATGCCTGAAGAAGCTTTATCAGAGCCCTGGTTGTGGGTATGGATTCCATACAACAGCCACCAGCAAATACCCAGTGACACAGAACAGAAACACTGGTGAGGTTTCAGGCCTGGTGACCAAAGGCCATCTGGAGGCTTAATCATATAAATGAGATTTACTCTGGTTCAACTGCCTAAGGAAAAGCTGGATGCCAATTATTATGAGCTATGCAGGAGATTGTGATTGTTGAAGTTCAAGGCCAGCCTGGGCAGAAGAAAATAGGTTGCAATACCCCCTTCTCAATGAAGAGAAAGATGCAGCAGTACACATCTGGGCATCTGACTATCCTAACTACTGGGAAGCCTAACTTAGGCTCAAGTATGTGCCTGGGCAGGAAGTGAGACCCTATCTCAAAAATAATGAGAAAAAACCCAGCAGCTTAGCCCAGTGGTAAGAATGCCAGCAGTTTAGCCCAGTGTGGAATGCCAGTGTGGAAAGCTCAAGGCCTTGAATTCAAACCCCGGTAGCTCATAAGAAAGAAAAAAAGAAACAAACAAACAAACAAGGAAGAGTGCACCTCTGCCTTGCCCATCTGTAGTTGTTAAAGAATGGTCATATGGATGCTGAACACTGGTGACTCACACCTGTAATCCTAGCTACTCAGGAAGCTGAGCTCTGAGGACTGAGGTTCAAAGCCAGTCTGGGCAGAAAAATCCCCCCAAATCTCTTATCATTCTTTAACTAGCAAAAAGCCAGATGTGGAGCTGGGGCTCAGGTCTGGCACACACACACACATACACACACATACACGGGGCATATGAGGATCATAAAGTATGTCAGGAATGTCAGGACAGCTGTAATGGCAGGCGCAGGTTGAAGGAGCCGGTGAGGCTACAGGATCAGGGGCACCATAGAGGTGTGAGTTCCAGCCCTTTGTGTGGTCTCAGTTTACCTGAAGATGGTAGGTAGCTTTTGTCTCTCTGTCCAGGGCTCTTGTGCAATACAGCAGTCCATCTGGTTGGATCATAAATATGTTGTCGGTCTCCCCAGTAAGTTCAAAGGTCACAGCTGGAGGATCTGCTTTAAACTGGGGGTAAAAAAGCAAAAGATGGGTTCAGCAATGAAGAGAAACAAGGCTGTGGCATTTGTACCTGCTTCAGGCTGTTTTTATTTATATAACCACTAAAAAAGAAAATTTTAGCCCATTGAAGTGATTGATATGTCCTAAAAGTTTGTTTATAATTATGTAACACACAAAATACATGCTTTTTTAAGAATTAATGTATCAGGGCTGGGAAGGTGGCTCAATTGTAGAGCCCTTGCCTTGCATACATGAGGCCCTGGGTTCGATTCTTCAGCACCACATAAGCAGAAAAAGTCAGACATGGTGCTATGGCTAACATGGTAGAGCACTATCCTTGAGCTGAAGAGCTGAGGGACAGAGCCCAGGCCCAGAGTTCAGGCCCCACAACCAACAACAACAAAAAAAAATTTAATGTATCATGCTGGCAGCATATTCCTCACGCTGTGATCCTAACTATGGGGGAGGCTGAAATCTGAGGATCACCTTTGAAGCCAGCAGGAAAGTCTACAAATCTCTTTCCCTAGTAAGCTACTCAAAAAGCTGTAAGTTGGAGCTCAATTGGTAGAGCACTAGCCTGGAGCAAAAAACTCAGGGAGAATGCTTAGGCCTTAAATTCAAGACCCAGGATTGGTACAAAAAAAAAGGAAAACAAAAATAAGAAAAAAAGGGGGAGGAAGAAAAATAAGAAACAATGTTATTATATTAATTCATTGACAAAAGATATTAATGCAGGCTTAAAGAGTATTTTTCATGGAATATCTGAAAGCTACAATAGTACTCAGAAACATTAGAAGGATAACTTCATTGCTAGAATAAAAAGCTATCCTGTAAGTACTTTTACATATTATGACAAAGATTGAGTCATGTTAATATCACCAAAGACAGTAAAAATATGTGGCCTCAACCTAATACTCTCTATATAATCTCTTAATTCTCTTTTCAAATGTGAAAAGCTATTAACCACTATTCATGGGATAACTTTTAAGAGAACAAACCAGAAAATTTCCATTAAAATAAGAGACATAAAGGTTTCTCAATCAGCGGATATAGAGGCTCACTCCTGTAAACCTAGCTACTCAGGAGGCAGAGATCTGGAGGCTTCAAATTTGAAGCCAGCTCAGCCAAAAAGTTGGCGAGCCCTCATCTCAACCAATAATTTGGGTGCAGTATCACATGCCTGTGTTCCCAGTTACACAGTAAGCCATAAGTAAAAGGGTCATGGTCTGAAGCCAGCTCCAGTAAAATTGAGGAAAAATTGGGGGTGGGGGAGGGCACTAGGAATGTGGCTCATGTGGTAGAGTGTCTGCCTAGCAAGCATAAGACCCTAAGTTCAAACCTCAGTACTGTCAAAAAAAAAGTTGCTCAAACTCATTAATACCTTTAACTGAATAATTTTATATGGGTTTTACTAAAACACTTAAAAATAATGCCAACATTAGTAGTAAAGAAATACCCCAAAAAGCATATAGTATGGAGGTATAAAACGTAGCCTTTGATAACAAACATTACTACACAGTTTATCTTAAGGAAAATTTTCAAAATAGTAAACTACATGCTTGTAGTATAAAGAGCATACTTATTAATAACGATAACATTGAAAACTTCTAGATGGCAAAAAATAGTGTAATTATGATGTCATAATCATAAACTGATATACTGTTAATCATTAAAGTGTTCACCATGAAGAGACATGGATAGAGACGGAGGCTGACTCAGTATATGAGGGTAAAGCACACTGATGGCTACAGAACCAAAAGTTCCCATGTTGGCAAGGAAGAAGTGGAGATTTATTTCCAAAAAAGACATGTTGATATGTTAAATGAGTAATATCATGGGTAAACAGTTGTGTTTGTGTGCTTATGGCTATGCTTTATCTGCATAGTAAATAAAAGTGTTGTTGTTTATGTTTCAAGAAAAAGACACAGACATGAGTTGTTTTTTTCCCTCTTCCTCTACAACAGTGATGAAAATGTTGGTTTAAAAAAATTAAGGGGCTGGGAAGGTGGCTCAGTGGTAGAGCGCTTGCCTCGCATGCATGAAGCCCTGGGTTCGATTCCTCAGCACCACATAAGCAGAAAAAGCCGGAAGTGGTGCTGTGGCTCAAGTGGTACAGCACTAGCCTTGAGCTGGAGAGCTGAGGGACAGCTCCCAGGCCCAGAGTTCAGGCTCCATGACCGACCAAAAAGAAAAAAAAAATGTGATGATTGCTGCGTGCTAGTGGCTCACACAATCCCAGCTACTCAGGAGGCTGAGATCTGAGGATCCCAGTTCAAAGCTATCCCAGACACCCCTCCCCCCCAAAAAAAATTGCGTGAGACTTTTTTTCGCAAAGCAAAATTTAGAAAAATAAATCCGGAAGTAGACTGTGGTTCAAGTGGTGGAATGCTAACTTTGAGCAAAAATGTTCAGGGACAGTTCCCAGGTTCTGAGTTCAAGACCTAGGACCAGAACAACAACAAAATTAAAACGGTTTTTAAGAACTCTAACCATGGACTTTTCAGAACCTCAGGAATTGACCAAATGCTAGTTAGAGCTAGTCCGAAAGCATAGAGCATTATAGTGTTTTAATTTGCACAGTTCCATTGTTGATTCTTTTTTTTTTTTGTCAGTTGTGGGGCCTGAACTCTGGGCCTGGGCACTGTCCCTCAGCTCTTCAGCTCAAGGCTAGCGCTCACCACTTGAGCCACAGCTCCACTACTGGCTTTTTCTGCTTATGTGGTGCTGAGGAATCGAACCCAGGGCCTCATGCATGCAAGGCAAGCACTCTACCACTGAGCCACCTTCACAGCCCCCCATTGTTGATTCTTAAAATGAAGTTGCCTTGAAAGCCCACAGCCTCAGACCCACAGCATGGCGGAAGGTGGTTCTTGGAGAACTATAGCTATATGACCTGTTGGCATTTCTCTGGAAATATCTCTCACAGGGCTTGTCTTTATTTAATCTGACTCAGAGATTACTCATTACGAGTCCTCAGCTGGGGCAAAACTTGTTGGGGAAAAATTCACTAGAGGAAGTGGGTAGAGAATGCAATCATAATATCTAATGCATAATCTATGAAATTAAGCAAATTGAGGAGAGAGGTTGGGCAGGGAGGGATTGGGGAGAATAATGAGAGGGGTGACATCGATCAAGATGTGCTGGACTTCCTATAAATTGGTTTGTTGAATGGTAATTCCCTTGTACAATGACTTAAAGATAATAAAAATATTTTTTAATGTCACTAACAATTTGCTTGATGTTATAGCTATCTGAGGTAGAGATAACACCAAAAAATTAAAGGCAAATCTAGGCATTCAGATGCCCACAGGGGGCTTTGGGAACCCCTCATATATTACAAGGGATCTAGAGGGGCCCATTCAGGAGCAGGGCTATGAATGTGTGAGGAAAAGTCCTCACCTCTGGCTGACTATGAGTAAATGAGGGCTAAGGTAAAACTGTAAACCCCCCTTTATTGAAAGTGTGCCCAGCATGCACATGGTGCCCCTTGGTAAAGGTTTGGAGATTTATTGGCTCAAGGCTTACCTAAGTTCATCTCTGTGCAGTCATTAACTGAACACTTTGCTAACTAAACAGAAACTGGAGTGGTCTCAGAGGACAAAGAGTACTGACTTTGCAGAATTCATTGATGAAAGTCACTAAATACACCATAACAACATCCAGCTCTGAGAAAAGGAAGAGATATGATTAGAAATCCCACAACATATTAATTACTGTAAGATTTGCCCTGGGCCTTGCCAGCCCTGTGCAGACACCTCCCTACCTCTTGGCTACGTTTCCACTCGGTATCTGTGTTACCTAGGTAACTGGCACACCTGGAAGCAGTCAGCTCCCCCTACTGCTAGGTCACATCCTAAGATGCCCTGTCACACCTCCCAACTGACCATAGAGGGTCCCAGGCCCTGAGGTCACATCAGATCCAGTGTGGCCACACCTTTCCCTCACCTGACCACACTTCTTCCTGTCCCTGGCCTAGATAAGTCCTGGCCCAGGGGTGGATGGCCCCTTTTTGGCCGTGCCTCTCTGTGGCAGGGGCGGTAAATAAACTTCTTTTCCTGCCTGAATACGGGCAAGGTGTTCTCTTCATCAGCCACCTAATGAAACCTACCTACCTATTTAATATACCTTACAATTACAACATCCAATTTCAAAAATGATGGGGACATAAAAATAAGAAAGAACTCTCAGCCTCTAGCTATTGTCCCTGAGGAATCCCAGATGTTGGATTTCCTAAAGATCTTAAGTCATTTGTCAGATTCAAGTAAAGGAAACCATGGACTGTAGGAAAACCAAATAGAGACTACCAATAGAGAATATCAATAAAAAAAACATAGTTTTGTTGTTGTTGTTGTTGTTGTTGTAGGCCGTAGGGGTTGAACTCTGGGCCTGGGCTCTGTCTGTCAGCTCTTCAGCTCAAGATGAGCACTCTACCACTTGAGCCACAGTACTACTTCTGGTTTTCTGGTGGTTAATTGGAGATAAGAGTCTCATGGACATTCCTGCCAGGGCTGGCTTTGAAACTTGATCCTCAGATCTCAGCCTCCAGAGTAGCTAGGATTACAGGCGTAAGACACCAGTGCCCAGCTATAGATTTTTTTTTGAGGTATTAATTCTGGAGTTAAAAAGTGCATTAACTGAAGTGAACAGGAATTATTTGATGGGACTTGAAAGAGTTGAGGCAGTGGAAGAATATCAATATTTACCAGCTAGAACAGAGAACAAAAATGAATAGAGTTTCCAGAGACCCGTAGAACACCAATGAATGTGTAAGTCACAGAAGGAAAAGCAAAGAGGGAAGAAGGATTATTTGAAAACAGAATGACTAAAAAACATCCCAAATATGAAGAAAACAGTTATCTAGATGCCCAAAAAGATTAATGAATTCCAAAACAAGTTAAACTCAAAGCCTTCACAGACCATAATCAAACATTAATTTGTAGTTCAACTGGTAGAACACCAGCCTACCAAGCATGAGGCTCTAAATTCAAGCCCCTACCAAGCATGAGGCTCTAAATTCAAGCCCCAGTACCACTACCAAGGGAAAAAAAGAACAAAGCAGAGATGAAATAGCCCAAAGAACAATTTTCCACCTGTCTGCTATCCTCACCCATACTGGGATGAACCTATCAACAGTTTATAGCCCTGGAGGTCCATAAGGTAGCTGGAGATTGCACCTATGTACAGTGGAATGGAAGTCTGATGTACTTACAGCTGTCACATTCAAGCACTTGAATATAACTGAAGAAGACTTCATAGTCTATCTTCAGGTCGAAATGGTCACCGTCTCTTAAGCATCTTCATCTACCTGCCTTACCCACAATCCTTTGCTTTTCTCTCTAGTATATACATGCACAGATACTATTAATCAAGCAAATCGGAGACCTAAGAGTTATCCCAAGCACCTGTCCCTTGCCTCCTGTACTCACTCAGAAGCCAGCCAAATCCACATTTATGACTTCCTGCACATTGCTCCTGTCTATCTTCTCCTTTTTCCCTATTTTAGTTCATTTGAGATGCTGTAACAAATGTCCTACACAATTTACAAACAATACATATTTATTGCTGAAGGCAGGACAGTCCAAGATCAGGGCCAATTTGCGCTACAGAGTAGATGGATCTGTTCCTCATAGATGACAGTGTTGACATGTCCTCGCATGGCAGCAGGAACAAACAGGTCCATCAGTCCTTCTTCACAAGGGTTCTATATTCTAGTCTTGAGGACTCTGCCCTCATGACCTAATAACCTCCTATGGTCCTAACTCTTAATACCAATGCTATAACTTGGGAGTTAGATTTTAACATGAATTTAAGGAAACATCAGAATGAAGACCATAGCACCCCCTTTGCATTTCCCTAACCATGATCTCATCTCTTCTCACTGGACAGTGGCAAGTAAGCAGTTTACTTCTTGTCTCACCCAACCCAACCCCTATTCACCGCAATCACAGAGAAAGCTTGCACAAGCACACAGCTTATCAGGCTACTCCACTAATGGCAGGAAGCAGCCTGCCCACGAAGACCCAGTCCAACCCATACTGACCTCAGCAAGTCTGCAGACCTCTGATGTGTACTTTCTCCAACCTGGACCCTGGATCACCCACTGTCTGTCACTTTCATACCAAATGCTTCCTGCATGCCTTGTCCCCTGCTGTCTTTACTGCCTGTTTCCTGTTCATGGACACCTACCCACTTTCCAACACTCAGCTCTGGGGTTGATGGAATGCTGGCTGATGAAACCCACTGCCATCTTCATTTAATATCGGCACTCTTCGATTTTGTGTTTAATCACAGGCCCAAAACAATAAAGTGGTACACATATGAACTAGCTCACCTTACCCATTCCAAAATTCATACATGTTTTAAAAAAACACGTATATATATATTTTGCATAGAAGTAGAGATTGAACTCAGGGTATGGAGCATGCTAGGTAAGCCCTTCAGACCTTTGCTTTTACTTTTGTTTTATTTTTAAGAAAAGTTCTCATAACCATGAGAATATCTTTCAAATATCCTGCCTCCTATGATGTATACCATCACATCTGGCCAAATACGTACAATTTCTATTTGTCAATAAATAAGGAAGGGGCTGGGAAGATGGCTCAGTGGTAGAGTGCTTGCCTTGCATGCCTGAGGCTCTGGGTTCGATTCCTCAGCACCACATAAGCAAAAAGAAAAAAGCCGGAATTGGCGCTGTGGCTCAAGTGGTAGAGCGCTAGCCTTGAGCTGAAGAGCTGAGGGACAGCGACCAGGCCCAGAGTTCAGGCCCCACAACCGGACCCAAAAATAAATAAATAAATAAGATAAATAAGGAAAATCAGTCACCTTTCTTCACCTGTCCTTTGACAACCAGACCACCTCATATGTTTGTTCACTTGAGTTTTCTCCCTGCAACTGTGAGCTCCCTGAGACTCAGGTAGTATTGGCATTACCAGTACCCTGCCCAGTGCCACATACAGAGTAGGTGTTTCATTCCTGGTTAATAAAAGAGAGTGAATGTGTACCTAGCATGTGAAGTTCTTTAGTGTATAAAGCATAATTCATAAATGGAAGGAATAAGAATTGTCAAAAAGACTTTACAGCCAAGTGCTCCCTGTCAGGGCAGAGGAAGGAAGTAAGGAGTGTATCTTCTGTGGATCCCTGCCAGAAACTTAGAAGGAGTTTCTTGCATTCTCTCTGGCCCTTCTAGTTTGTAGCCAGAGAGGTCTTTTCTGAATGGAAACTTGAGTCGAGTCCATTTCTTTGGGGAGAAAATCTCAGAGCTTCAATAGGCAGGGCCTTCCTGTCTGCCTTCTTCTTGACCCTCTTCTCCCCAGCCATGTAGCTTGCTAACTAACAGTCCTTAGTTCATGCTCTGCCCTCTCCTTAGCACAAGGCTGTTGTCTCTGCTGGGTCTTTGCTGAACTCACCTTCCTTCCTTCTCAAATTGATTCCTGTGCCTTACAAGATCTTTCAGCAACCCCTCTGTGTTTGTCCCATGAATGGAGTGATAATGGGCTATCAGGTGGTGGGAGCCATTATCAGTCCCAGAGGGTCCTCAAAACTCCTCCAACCACTCCAAAGCCAAGGAGTTTCCTGAGGGAATGTCTAGCAAATGCAGTAATTCTTCTCCTTCTCCAGTTACATTTCTGTAATTATTTCAGAGCCCTTGGCAGCTTAAGTCCCTCACTCTACCTGGAACACACCCTTCCATGGGATGCTTTTCACGGCAGTCTAAATGAAATGACCACCTCCCAGTGTTGAGGTTTGGATAGGAAGTGTATTCACAAAAGACTCATTGTTGAAGGTTTGGTATCCTGGCAGTGCTACTGACAGGTGATCAGATCATGAGAATGCTGACTTTATCAATGGATCAGCCATTGGTGAGCTCATAACAGAATGGGCTATAGGAGGTGGGGCTTAGTTCAGGAAGTAAGCACTGGGGGTGGGGCTTTCATCTGTTCAGGAAGTAAGCACTGGGGGTGGGGCTTTCAGAGATGTATCTTGTCCCCAGATCCTTTTAGTCTCTTTGCTTTTGGGCCACCAGGAGCTGATCAACTTTCTTCCACTACAACCTTCTAACTTAACTGTTCTGCTTTACCACCAGCCCAGTAACTGTGTGCTGAAACTTCTGAAAACCATGAACTAAAGTCAGTCTTTCCTCCTTTTAAGTTGTTTTTTTTTCCAGGTATTTTTTCACAGTGACAGAAACACTAACATCACCAGCATCCTTGACCAACACATAGAGACAAGGGCTCTGCCTGAGCACAGAGGAGGTAGTCAGGAAAAGGCAGGCCATCTACAGAGAGAAGGCCCATCTTCAAATGTCTGAAGTGGTGACAGTCAGAGGACCAGAGCCTCTCTAGGGATCAGCTCCCTTTTTACCACTGGGTAGGGGCAGAGCCCATAGATACCAGCCTCCCTGTGAGAGGGATGGAGGCACTGGCCTCAGATATGATTAAGGAAGCTGAATGAGGATGTCATGTCCAACTAATATACTACCATGGCCACCCATCTCTGTTTGACTTCATTTCTGAAATCATTCTAAAGAATGAGATGTGCCATTATTTCCATTTTATTTCCTGCTGTGCAGTAGAGAAAGGAGTAAAGTCCATTGGGAGAGCAGGAGAAATCAAGCCACCAGCAATCAAGAGTAACCTTTACCTGGAATATGTATATGATTTGATTTGATTCTTGGCCTTCAAATATAGAAAATTTCATGGGCTTCAGGGGTCCACTAAACTTCCCATCTTGGCCATTTCCAGTTGTCTGTTAACAAAGAAAGAGAGGATTAGCATTGGTCATAATTGCGTGTGCCACTTGCTGATTTTATTAAGAGTTCCTAAATATAAAACCCCTAAATACAACTTCTTTTAGTCAGTTTGTTTATGTGTGAATGCATTGATCCCTGGATATGTTATCATGAATAGTTGTATTTTGAATCTAGCTTCCACATATGAGATTAAATCATGCGTGGTTTGTTGCTGACCTGGCTTACCTCACTTAATAGTTTCATCCATTTCCCTACAAAATATATAAGATTCTTTCTAATGGATGAGTAAAATTCCTTTGTGTGAAGCTATGTATATATGACCATATAAGATGATGCTAACCGAAATGAACCCCAAGAGAGGGACATAGGAGGCTTTATCTTTCTTGCTGCTGTTTTTAATGTACTTACAATGTACTCTGTGATCGTTTTTCTTTTGTGTGTTCTTTCCCCATGGCATAACCCCTGTTTTCACTGTATTTGATTCTGGTGCCCTGCATCTTGTATATACATTTTTCTAATTTGGGGAGGGGAAGGGAAATAACAAAATGCTGAAATGAGGATACAGGTTGGCCCATTGTAACAATGAGATGTACAAGACACTATGTTGAAAATGAACTTTACAACTTCAGGGAGGGGGAGGAAGGGGGTGGGAAGGTGGGGAGGGAAGGGATGGTAGGGGAAAAACAAAGGAGGGGGTAACAATGCTTGATAGGAAATGTACTCATTACCTGGCTCATGTAACAGTAACCCCTCTGTACAGTATCTTTACGATAAAATATATATATATTAAAATTTTTTCTGGAAGGGATGTGAAGGGTAAACAAAGGAGGAGGCTGCAATGCTTGGTAGAAATGTACGCATTATCCTGCCCATGTAATTGTAACCCTTCTGTACAGTATGTTCACAAATAAAATTAAATTTTTAAAAAAAGGCAAAAAAATTTTTTTTCTTTATGTATATGGACCTCATTTTCTTGATCCACTGTTGTAGTGCATCTGGGCTGTTTCCATCATTTGGCTATTATGAATAGTGCAGCAACGAACATGGATGTACTAGTGTCTTTACCATATCCTGACTTGTGAGGCTCTGAGATGCTTAAGAGTGGTATGGCTGGGTCGTAGGGAAGATCTATGTTTTGTTTAGTTGGTTTTGTTTTTGTTTTTTTGGTCTGTCCTGGGGCTTGAACTCTGGGCTTGAGCACTGACCCTGCGCTCTTCAGCTCAAGGCCAGCACTCTACCACTTGAACCATAGAGCCACTTCCGGTTTTCTAGTGGTTTATTGGAGATAAGAGTCTCACAGACTTTTTCTGCCCCAGCTGGCTTTGAACTGCGATCCTCAGACCTCAGCCTCCTGAGTAGCTAGGATTACAGGTGTCAGCCACTGGTGCCCGGCTTGTTTTTTTGTTTGTTTGTTTGGTTTGGTTTTTGAGAAATCTCCCAGCCACTTTCTAGAGTGGTTGTATTTACCAGTTTACATTCCCACCAACAGTGTAATAGGGTTCCTTCTCCCCCACATCCCCACCAACATTCATTATTGTTCCAATTCTCGATGCTGGCCAATATCACTAGGATAGGATGGAATTTAAATGCTGGTTTGACTTGACTAATATTCTTAATTCACATAGTGAACTTTCTGGACTTCTGTCCATCTCCTCCTTTCTGTCTTCTTGAAGAACTCTTCCTGCCTTCTATTTCTTTCTTACATCTCATCCAATTACATTGTTGCTCCCTGGGAATGTGGCAGGTGTCCAGGCTGCAGCATATCTGGTCCAGGATGGGGATAGTCTTTTCTGTGAGCTACTGCTCAACAGAAAACTACCTCCCTCGGCTCTGGGCCCACCCAGCATGTGGCCACACTGATGAAAACTACCAAAGCCAACAGGCCTCCTGGACAAAGCTCTGCCTTTCTTATAAGGACAAGCTGACTCACCTGCAGGAAAGGAAGGGCATATCTCAGTTCCAGAGTTCAAAGTTGCATCCTGTATCAGGGCAACACATCTTTCCTCCAGCCGGCTAATCTGGCTATTGGGGCTATAAAGATTTCAACATGCAAACACACACAGTGAGTCACCAGGCCACACCATCAGAGCCTGGAGGAATAATGTGGGAGAAACTGGCAAAAAGACTCATCATATCCAGGAGGAGAAATCCATGTCTCCTTCTCAGACAAGAGAGGAGTGAGCCACCAACCAGAGTATTAGATAAGAATCTTCTCACTCTCTCAAATCCCATCATTGCTTCCTAATACACCTCTGCAATTGTGTATTCTGTTTCTAGCCTGTTCTTGGAACTTACTAGATGCTAAAGGTATAAAGGTGAAAAAGAAGCTGTTCTTCCTTCATGGAGGTTAAGGTTCAGAGGGATATGGATAATGAATATTTAAAGTGCTTTTACTGATAGGTATTTTTAAATTAAAAAATTATTTTCACTAGTACTGGGATTTCAATTTATGGACTTTCATTTGCTCAGCTGGTACTCTACTACACTTCCAGCTCAGCTTTTTGCTAGTTACTTTGGAGCTAGAGTCTCACCAGCTTTTCTGATGAGGCTCTTTGCATTGTAATCCTCTGAATCTCAGACTAGAATTATAAACGTGAGCCACCAGCACCTGACTAAAACCTGTGTGTCTGTCTGTCTGTCTGTCTGTGTCTGTGTCTGTGTGTCTGCGTGTCTGTGTGGCGCATGCGCGCCAGTCTTCAGACTTGAACTCAAGGCCTGGGTATTATCCCTGCGCTTTTTTGCTCAAGTAGTGCTCCACCACTTGAGCCACACTTCCAGCTTTTTGTGGTTAATTGGAGTTCGACTTTTCTGCCAGGTTGGCTTCAAATACTGATCCTTAGATCTTGGCTTCCTGAGTAGCTAGGATTACAGGTGTGAGCCACTGGCACCAGGTCAAAAAAAATTCTTATTCAGTGTTTAGGCTGTGCTAGTCATGAATCTGAGAGAGAGAAAGTGCACTGTCTTACTTAATTGCAACATCTCAGAACTCAAACACTGAATTAGATCCATTTCAAAGGGAAGAAAACTGGGGTTCAAAGTTTAATATAACTCACTTGGGTTCATATCTTATGTAAATTGGATCTAACTCTACCACCAGCCTATAATAATGCAGGTAGAAAAGAACATTTGAGAGAATAAGAAGAAGAGAGAGGTCGAATGGATGTTTGACATCATACTTGTACAAAAATGGGGACACATTTTGAGCCCTCAAGCCACAAGAATCCCATTGCTCATAAAATTTGAACTATAGTCCTCCTTTTACCCAGAGAAAGGCACTGATAACTCTGGTTTTATGTCAGTTACTCTGTAAATATTTTTAATTGAATGGGCTTTAGTATGCTTTCTGAAACTTAAAATTTCATGTAGGTTTTTTTTTTTGTATACTAGAAGAAATGAAGCAAGATTTGAGGTCCAAGAATATAGAAATTAAGGAAAGGAAATACAGTTCCATAATCTTGCTTCATAATACAACAAAATTTTGACAATCTTTTGTCAAACCTCAGGAGCCTCAAGCATAAAACAAAACTAACACCCCTCTGTCTAGCCAAGGTCAAGTGCTGAAACTGTCTAGTTCCCATCAAGCTCCAAACTTTAGGAGCCTATTGGACAATAGGGTTAACTCAACAAATGGCTAAAGACACATTCAGCAATAAAAAATCCAATTGGTAAGAAGAAAAGTACAGGTAGAAAAGATTCTAAAACAGAGAAAATGACCTCTTGATGTGTTTTGATGATGTCTTCAAAGTTTAAAAACCGTCAAAATTAAGGGATATAGATAAATATATACATCAATATAATTTCTTTATGAAGTTCCTAGCCTTGTTCCTATTCTCTTTTTTCTTTCTTTCTTTCTTTTTTTTGTCATGAGGCTTGAACTCAGGACTGGGGTGCTATCCCTGAGCTCTTTTTGCTCAAGGCTACTTACTGCTCTATCACTTTAAGCCACAACTCCACTTCCGGTTTTCTGGTGGTTAATTGGAGATTAGAATCTCACAGACTTTCCTATTGAGGCTGGCTTTTAACAAGGCTGTAATTAGACCTCAGCCTCCTGAGTAGCTAGGATTATAGGCATGACTCAGTAGTACCCAGCTTTGTTCCTATTCTTTTGTATGTAAATAATAGATTTGTCCATAGGGCTGGGGGAAGTTGCTTAGTAATAGAGCATTTGCCTACTATTTACAAAGCCCTTGCTTCTACCACTATCACTGCAAAATCAAGTTATAGATTATCCATTATACAGTGTCTGCTTTTCTCTCTCTTTTTTTTTAATCTCTTTTTTTGGGGGGTAGGGAGCAGCCATGGGGCTTGTACTCTGGGCCTAGGTGCTGTCCCTAAGCTTTTCAGCTCAAGGCAAATTGCTCTAATACTTGAGCCACAGCACCACTTCCAGTTTTCTGGTGGTTTGTTGGAGAGAAGAGTCTCACAGACTTTCCTGCCTGGGCTGTCTTTGAACCATGATCCTCAGATCTCAGCTTCCTGAGTAGCTAGGATTACAGGCATGAGCCACCAGCACCTGGCCAGTGTTGGCTTTTTAGGAAGCCAACAAGCTGAAAGACGCCCAGGTGGTTTATAGCCATTTCACTAGAATTATTGATCCGAATACACAGTGTCCAGCCTGTACAAAAGTTTAATTTGATAGGCCAACTTAGACAAGTGATGATAGTCATCCTTTCTCTAGTATGGGAAAATATTCCAATGAAGAAGTAGAGAACTTTACCTTTGCTCTTACCAAACACAGCATAAACAGACACAGGGAGTGAAGACGGGCTCCAATCATCTTGCTATTCTCTGCTCAAATGCCTGTGAATAGACCAGAAATGGGGTGATCACATGCCAGCCTGTTAAAACAAAGTCTTCCCAACTGGAAAGAACCACTGCCTGACATCCAGTCACAAACCTAGAGAAGCAGATCTCTACAGATGAGCTCACCTCTGCATGGAACAGCCAATCTTCCAGAAGCTTCCTGATCCCCCATCATAGGAACATACAAGTCAACAACTCCAATGAGCTGTCTATAATTTATTCCTTTCATTGCTTCTCTCTATTTTGGCCTTCATTGAGAGTCTTACATAACAGTCCATGAGTGTGATTTTTCACTCTTGTTGGATTTTTTTATTATTATTTTCAGTTGAGTTTACAGTTTTTACTTTTTTAAGCAATTGAGGAAGGTATGTTTTGGCAAATGCCAGGATAGCTATATAAAATAATGTTAGTGGTTGCAGTTCAAAGCTGCAAATATATGATAGCCCTCAGAAAAGAACCCAGGAATGTTCCTGATCCTATGTTCACAAACCTCATCAACTGTCTCTATGTTCTCCCAAATATTGTTGATCTGTGTAACACGTGAATCCACTTCCATGGATCAAATAAACATCCAAACTCTGTCCACTTTGTCATCACCCTGCATAGAAACTGTAGCTCTCACCCTGAGACTTGTCATGCTATACTGATATAAGTATTTCCACATTGCAAAGAGAAATTAAAACTGTATTCATTTCACTAAAATTTCAAACAATGTTGTTACATTGAGGAATGGTAAGTGACCCTTGTTTACTCCCTTTTTTCTTTAGTTTTTGAAAGTCTTTCCACATTTAACATTTATTAATAATATGATTGTATGGAAAAAGGTTATTATAGTATAGTGTATAGTATGCTAACTACAAGGATAGAAACAGACACAGACATAGCAATGTAATATATGTGTGTACGTTTATATGTATATATATTACATGCTATATATACATATGTATGTGTATATATATGACATGCCATATAAATTTACATTTTTACTCCAAATTTCCACAGCTATTTTAAGAAAAAGCTAGCATTGAAATCCTTCTGGAACTGTAAGATTTATAAATCCCTTGAAAGTTTGAAAATTATCTTTCACAATGGACTTTAATTTGGTAGGCACATCCAAATATCATTTTAAAAGAAACTCATTAAACACGCAACATTTTTTTCACTGCTGGAGACTGATTATCTGGTTTGGAAGCACAGAGAAACAAATTATACATAATCCCTGGCTCTAGAAAACTGCAAAATGAGATCCAGTCAGCCTTCCTCACCTACATAGATCAAAAGTGGCTCATGTCTATAATGCTAGCAACTCAGGAGGCTGAGATCTGAGGATCTGAGGATCCTGCCAGCCTGGGCAGGATCTGAGGATCATGGTTCGAAGCCAGCCCGGGCAGGAAAGACCTTGAGACTCCTATCTCCAATAAGCCACCAGAAAAACCAGAAGTGGTGCTGTAGCTCAAGTGGTAGAGCACTCACCTTGAGCTGAAGAGCTGAGGGACAGCGCCCAAGCCCAGAGTTCAAGCCCCATGACCGACAAAAATAAATAAATAAATAAATAAAAATCTAGAAGTGCTTTAAAGTACATGAGAGGATGTGTGTCAGCTTCATGCAAATATTATGTGATTTTTACAGAAGGGACTTGAGTATCCATGGACTTTGTTATTCATAGAAATCCTGGAACTAAGCCTCATGCGTACTGGAGATTACCTTTATGTGGGGATGGGGGAGAGGGGGAAGAGGAGGGTTGTAAATCAGTATCCTTAAAGTCTAACTAGTTGAGTGTCATTTGACATTACCAAAATACACATAATCAGCTATCAACCAGCTATCACTTTGCTAAATCAAAGTGAAAACACAGAAAATAAAATGTCACATTGGAGTATCTTCTCCTCAATCTCCTCCACATTTGACATCTTTCACATGTGCTCCCAACTCTTCTCAGTCTTCTCAGTCTTATCTGCCACTCCCTCCCCACACCCAGACCCACTGCACTTTGCCCAGCTCTCCTGGGTCTGAGTCACAGCACTGGCTGCCCTCCCCACCTGGCACCAGCCTGGCCCAGAGAAAACGGACAATGGTTATTTGTTTAACGAAGTTGCATTGAAACCATCCTTCCTCCTCTCTGCTTCTGCTCCTCTTATCTTATCACCTAGATCCAAATTACCCATCTTTGCAAAAAAAAAAAAAATTCACTCAAGCTTCCCACAAATGTTAGACACTGGGCTAAGAACCAGGAGACCAAAATAAGGAGTTCTGGGCTTGCCATCATGGAGCTAAAACTTAAATCCTACATTATTCATAAACAGCGAGAAGCCTGTTCCTCTCTGAATCCCTCACCCACGGTTTTGTTTTGTTTTTTAATAACTATTAATATAAAAGAAATGAATTTGAGATGTAAAGCCTTATTTTGATGCAAAGCATAGTAATAAATTTTTTTATCATTGATGACAAAGGTTGTTTTACTTTTAAATACATTACCAGATCTTTGCTTGGTAATAGTTGAAAAATGGTTGAATATATATTCAACTTGAAATACAAGTTGAATAACAGAAAAGCAAGTAACAATAAAAATGAATGCCTTATTTTAAGATGTTCATGCAGGCCATTGTCTGGGATGTCTTCATGGAAATACACTTAAACTTTATCTTGTCGTTTACATTTAGTCTTACCACTCACAGGAGGGTTTCAGGTAGAAAAGAGAAGTAATTGCTTTTCACGCTCAGGCATGGGGTGCCACTGTTTATTTCAAGGCATAGAGTCAAGCTAGATTAGTTTGGTTCCTGGTTCCTCTACCACTTCCATTTACTCTTCCACGCAGCCAGGACAATGATGGCATCCACCATTAAGAGTTACCGGATCCGATGAGTTAATACTTAGAGCAGTGTTCATCAAATAAAAATTCATTTGACAATGCAAGCTTGCTTAGTCAGAACTATAAGCCTTGCCCTACAGGAAGTCAGCTTCCTGCCACCCACTATTAAGAATTTTCAAGCAAAAGCCTCCACATTAATTTCCAAAGGCCAAATGAAGAGGCAAGGCAGAGCCTTTTCTGAATGATTCAGAGAAAACCACAGAGGACTTGGTTCTCTCCAACAAGTCTTGCTTTTACCTCCTCTTTTCAAGGAAATGGTGCATTCATGAGTATCAGTCCTGGGGTCATGGGGATACTGACAGGAAATTTTTGTTTATACCTGAAATAACCAAATCATTCACATGGGAGGTCCCCTCACAAACACCACTTGGAAAGTGTTTGAATAGAACAGTCAGTGACATTTTATCTGAATTATCTGACAGAATTTGTCCAACCATCTGCTTGGAATTTCTGCTATTTACCAGGGTCTCCCTCAGTTGCAAGGGCTAATTCAATCAGTTCCTATGGCCACTATCTATGGCCAAACATACCCTTAGCAACACAGGTCAGTTTTGTAAAGACCTACATCCCTTAAAAATGTGTATGGATCTCACCAAATAGAACTTGCTATCACCCCTTATTTTTTAACCATGGGTGAGGGCCTTGGAGCCATGGTTGCTGGTCTCATGCTATACAGGAGGTTCCTTCATTGAATTCACATCAGCCCAGAAATTATGGAAATCCTTATGTATCCTGAAGTTGTGTCCAGCCAGGACCACAACACAAAGACCGCTTGCATTTACTGAAAACACACCATGCTGAGACTTCTGTATGAATTCTCAGAACAATCCTATGAAACAGGCACTATTAGCATCTGCACTTTGAAATTTCTCTAAATCAAAAGCTAAAAGTCAAAGAAGTTAAGAGACTTGCCCAAGGTCACACTGCTAGCTAAGTTCCATGCCTAAGACCTTAAGCATCTATTCTAACTCTGAGCATCTTGATCATGGAATACTGAACCTCACCTCATCCACTCCATCTTTCCAAACATTGTTTTTGTGTTTAACATCATGACTTTCTCCCATTCCCCACCACAAGCCTCCCACCAACCCAGAAGTAATGGTTGTATCAGCTTAGAAGGTTTTGCTCTTACAACCAATGTATTTCTGTGTCACTACCTCCTTCATTTCCCCTCTGAGCTTCACCTGAGGAGTCTTCTATTTTTTCTTATTAATCATGCAAAAAAGTCATGAGCTGAATTGTATTTCCCTTCCCAGGGTCACATATAACAGTCCCAACTCCCAAGTCCCTCAGAAGGTGACCTAGAGTCTTTACAGAGGCAGTGAACGTAAAAGAGTGGGCTCTGATCCAATATGTCTGCTGTCCTCATAAAAAGAGGAAAATTTGGAGACAGACTCAGACACCAGAAGAACACCGTGTGACATGAAGACAGCCATCTGCAAGGCAAGGAGAGAGGAACAGATCCCTTTGTGGCTGGCCCACAAAAGGAGCTGAGCCTACTCACCTTGACCTTGGACTTACAGCTCCAGAACTATGAGATGGTAACTTTCTGTCAGTTAAGCCACTGATTCTCTGGTGTTTCATTATGGCATCTCTAGGAAACTAAGACACCAAACAACCTTAGCTTCAACTGGGTAAGGTGCTGCCATATCAGGACCTGGGCAAATGCAAAGGGGGCTTGTTTCTGCTATTGTACCTAGTGCCCATGACCTCCCACATGGCCACTTGAAGCTTGATTGATTCTCCTGCTGGCCTCCAATGCTTCTAAGAAGGTTTTAGATATGTTTAGACACTTGTCATTTCTACATTTATTTGAATAAAGATAGAAAATTCTAGGTGTCAGATTTTTAAACCCACAAATAAATCAACAAACACTCGTTCTGCACCCCCACCTCAGGCACCTACAGAAAGTTAAAGGCTAGACAATTTTTAAAGTATGTCATCTCTTATCATGTTGTTTTGATTTTGTTCAAGAAAGAGGAGAGGAAGAAAAGAGGAGAGGAAAGGAGGGATGGAGAAGGAAAAGGAGAAGAAAGTACAGGAGGAAGTTTAGAATTAAAATTGTTAGTGTGTCCTCCCTCATTTTGGTTTGACTGCCTCCATCT